CCATGCATCCATCTATGCATCCATCTATGCATGCATCCATCTATGCATGCATCCATGCATCCATCCATCCATGCATCCACCCATGCATTCACCCATGCATTCACCCATGCATCCATCTATCCATGCATCCATCCATCTATCCATGCATCCATCCATCTATCCATGCATCCATCCATCTATCCATGCATCCATCTATGCATCCATCTATGCATGCATCCATCTATCCATCCATGCATCCATCCACCCATGCATCCATCCATCTATCCATCTATCCATGCATCCATCTATGCATCCATCTATGCATGCATCCATCTATCCATCCATGCGTCCATCCATGCATCCATCCATCCATGCATCCATCCATCCATCTATCCATCCATCCATCACTCTATCCATCCATCCATGCATCCATCCATCTATCCATGCATCCATCCATCCATCCATCCATCTATCCATGCATCCATCCATCCATCCATCCATGCATCCATCCATCCATGTATCCATCCATCCATCCATCCATCCATGCACCCATCCATCCATGCATCCATCCATCCATCCATGCATCATTCCATCCATCCATCCATCCATTTGCTGATTCAAAATTAGTTGCAGGTGTAAATGAGTGCTTGGGTGACGTGTCCAGGATGGGATAGCCTCCAGCTTCCCTGCAAACCCTGAATTGGATAAATGGAATAAAAGTGGATAGATATAATTAATTATTTCTTCTTAATTATGTGATTGTGTAGTTTCTCTATTAAACAGCTGTGCTTGTAATGCCTGTCCCTTGTGAGTAACAATCTGTCATGCACTGATTCTTGAGTGGTGACAAAAAAAGACTGGAATCTGACCTGCAGCTTCCAACAGCAGATATGAAGCATGACAGCAACATGATTAATGAGATGTTAGGTCTACAGTTGCAGCAGTACATTAGGGGAATGTTGGTATGGGCTGATATCATGAGTATGTGACAAAGAGCCTAATTTATTTTTTAATTTTCTTTTTAATTTCTTTACGCAAAATGATCAAAAACAGCACGAGCATCAGCTATAGGCTGTTTAAATTGTTATTTTAAACATTGGTGTTGGCCCTGACTTTCACAGTTCACAGTCCAGTCATGTTGTTGTACACATCTCCCTTTCTGTCAAAAGCAGTATCATGAAAAAGCTCTAGGCATTTCAGGTGTTTAGATTCTTATTCAGTGCGATAACATCAGAGAGCATGTTCATGTCCGTACAAACTCATTGTGCAACAGCATATCTAGTCCAAACCTATAGCCAGCAAAACGACAACTATGTACAGCAATGAAAACAACCACGCAAGCTAACAGATAACACATCTCATTCTTGCCTTTGTCTCTAAATCAAATCAGAATGTGAACTGTAAGTTTTTAATGATGTTTGAAGCAACTTGCTTGCCAACTACCTTGAATAACTCCATAAATGTTGCTGTGAGAGCTGAAAACTATGCAAAGGTTATTTTAAAGGTATCCAGACCTTACTGATAGAGTATTACAATTACACAGTACTGTTTTCACTCTTATAGAAATGTGGAGCTTGCAGTGTAAAGCAATGCATAAGATGTAATCATACAGTTTTCTTTGCCATACAAGCTGTTCAGAGACCATTTCTGTGTTTCAAATGTACACTGAAGATCTTTAATTGTTATTATGTCTCTGCATTTTTACACAGTTGTAAGCCGAGGATTGGAGGCCGGAAGTGTGATCGCTGTGCTCCAGGTTATTATCGCTTCCCTGACTGTGTGCCCTGTGACTGTAATCAAGGTGGAGTTACATCTAATGTGTGTGACCCAGACACAGGAAGGTGTCTCTGCAAGGTCGGTTCAATAAATGAAATGTCTTATTTAAGAACTCCCTGTTTCTTAGTGTTCTTTGTCTGACTTTCTCTTTGTCATTGCCGCCACGTTTGCAGAGAAATGTTGCTGGGGTCAGGTGTGATACTTGTCGGGAAAGGTCCTTCTATTTTGACCCCTCAAACCCTCTCGGCTGTACCAGCTGCTTCTGCTTTGGAGTCACTGACCAGTGTCAGAGCTCCAGCAAACGCAGGGGGAAGGTGTGTTGGCTTTTCTTGCTCCTGCATGTCTACAGATGCCTTTAAAGATTTTCTGCCTGCAGCGCCTTTTGGCTGACAGACGTTATGTGGCAAACAATGGGTTTTTAATAAAAGCTGGTGTTGATCACAAAAGGACCAACTATGGTAAAGCAGATCAAATGCACAACATGCGATGCAGGTTTTACAGTGACTTGGGTGCCTTTATAATAGAGCTTTTCTTGTTAGTGTCTCTAAAGTTACTGGATGAACTCATTGACCCATCTGCCCGTGTCTTGCGCAAAGTCCTTTTTGCAAGCTTGTCTTGGAAATGGAGTTATCGACTTTGCTAATCTGGTGTTCTGTTTAAGAGGTCATCAGTGTGCTCCTATTTTACTAATACAGATAATACTCATTTTACTAACACTACCGTTAAAAATTATCTGGAAAACACAGTTATTATTTTTCTTACGTTTCTCTGTTATTAGTTTGTTGATATGCAGGGCTGGCGTTTGGAAAGTACCGACAGAGAGGAGGTTACATCTGTGTTGAACAAAGCCAGTAACACGGTGGTGGCAGATATCCAGGAACTTTCTCCCGCAGTTCAAACATTACACTGGGTGGCACCACCGTCCTATCTGGGAAACAGGGTGAGTCAGTGGAGACTTCATGGCGAGGAATGTTGTTTATTGGGAATATGTGCTGCTGTCTAAACAGAGAAACAGATATTGGAGGTCATTTCCACAAAAAATGTTGTTTAGTTTTTTTTATTCTTGAATAAAACTCTGTTTTATTCAAATCTTCTAATTTTATGATTCTTTTTCTTAACTCTTATCATGTCACCCTGTGTCTTTATTTCTTTTAATTATCTTAATTTTACAGCACCTTGGTCAGCGGTTGTTGATTTAAATGTGCTATATGAATAAATTTGACTTTGACCTTGACTTTGACTATTGAAAAGTAAACCTATAATTATCAAGATCCATACTAAGAATCCAGCAACCCAGTTGCGTTCATCTTTTAAACTTCTTTAACATGACTGAATATGACAATTCACTGATAATTGTTGTGCATATATACGGTTTTGGAGTAAAGGATCATTGTCGATATTTCAGGTGTGTTCACATTTTTGCATCTTCCAGTTTTGTTTTTTTTAAATTTCCACACATGATTTAATTTTAATTATAGTATTATTATATTCTGTTTAGGTATTTCTATACTGTTGTATTGCTGCTTTTGCTAAAGGAACATTTTCTCCACCACTCATCATTGTCAGCTAAGACAGGAAGAAGTGCAGAAAGGCTGTCAGCATACATCAACAAAACTCTAAACAAAAATCTTAAACAATTTAAAAGGAGGAATTAAAAGGCCATATGGTATCTGAAAAATCACAAGTTTAACCATTACCTCCCAACTGAAAAGGATCTATGTCGAATATATATTAAAATGTCCTTTACACTAACCGTCTATATGCAACTTTTCCTCCAAATTAACTAACAGAAGTCTCTATCCTTTTCTAGGTTTCATCTTACGGTGGTTCCCTGACTTACCAGTCCAAATCATTCGGGATTCCCAGTGAGGGGATGACTCCGATTGGCAAAAGACCTGATGTTGTCCTAACTGTACGTAATGCTAGGAGTTTTCTTTTCTTTTCGTTTCTTTTTTTGGTTACAGTGGCAGTGTATTTATCCATGTCATTATTTTTTTCCTCAGGGTCATAACATGACTCTGATCCACACATCTCCACAAGCTCCACTTCCAGACAGGCTCTATCAAGGCAGAGTACAGATGTTGGAGGTAAAGGACTACACTTTCTTATAACCATTTTATTTTCTCTTTCTCTCCATACTGATTTCTCAGGATAAATCTGACAACTTTGTGTTGTTTGCAGGGGAACTGGCGACATGCTTTCAACAACAGGCCTGTCTCCAGAGAGGAACTGATGATGGTCTTGGCTGGTCTGGTGGGCCTTAGGATCCGAGCCTTGTACTTCACCCAGAGCCAGAGACTCAGCTTGGGTGAGGTGGGCCTAGAAGGGGCCACAACCTCAGGGACTGGAGGTCCTAGTAACTTAGTGGAGAAATGTTCCTGCCCCTCTCAGTATACTGGTGACTCCTGTGAGGTGAGTTTGAAGGCCATCAAATATGTTGTATGGACAGATGTATTGGGCCACCTCCCTTAATCTTTGCTTAAAAGTTGCCAGTGCTCTGCTGACACAGTAACTACAGAGTTCCAGACCTCCTCTCGCATTAACATCAGCACAAAAACTATGTGCTGGGAGCTTCATGGCATGGATTTCCATGGCAGCTACTCTAGGTGTAATGTGTAGGTGGCCCTGTACTTTTATCCACATAGTGTATTTGGTAGTCTTGCATTCTCCTTGGCTTCCTGTCGCGTTCGGTTCAAATCTGACTGATTTACAACTTAAAACACTCATAAATATTGTGTTTTACATGTGATTGCCTCAAGGCCTTATGACATCCTCCACACTATGCACTTGAACATATAAAAGAGATGATCACCTCTTTAATTGAATTTTCACACACATACACACACATTGGCCCCTTACCCCCTGAAAGACCCACTGAATGATCCGCTGAACAAGGTCAAATTTGCTGTTTTATGGACACTTTTCCATTTTCACTCCCTAACCTTAATAAATCTTCACTCCTGATGTACTGAACAATGTTCAATTCAAGTCAGTTAAATTTAAAGTTGATTTATCAGATTCTCAGTGTTGATAAAATTTGTATGCACATAATGATAAAGAAAAAACATCATGAAATACCAAATGAAGTGATTGAAATATAGCTTTTGTATCTGTAGTCCATACCGGTCGTATCCTGTTAAATCTAATATTAAGGAAGGCATTATTGGGACTTTCCTATCATCATTAAGGCAACATGAGTAATATGATGAATGACACACTGATGAGTTAACATATTTTTATGCTTTCCTGGCCACTGTTGCTACAAATCATCTAGTGATACAAGCCCAGTTCTGAAAAACTGAGAAACCATGTAAAATGCAAATACAAAACAGAACCCAATAATTTACAAATCTCACAATTCCGTATTTTATTCACAAGAGAACATATAGAACACAATCTGTTCAATCTGAGACATTTTACTATTTCACGAAAAATATCAGCTCATTTTCCCAACTTCTTTTAGGTGTGTTGCTGCCATAAAGTAGCTCATTTTTTTTCATCAAATAATAAAATGTCTCACTTAAACATTTGATAAGTTTTCTATCTTCTATTTTGACTAAATTATGGCTTGATGAGGTTTGCAAATCATTAAATCTGTTTTTGTTTACATTTCAAACAGTGTCCCAGCTTTTCTGGAATTTCTTTGCACTGAAATATTTTATTTTGATGGTGAATGAGATTAGTTTGGCTTTTTGTAAGCCTCCTTAACTTCTCAGTAGATTTGAATTCAATACAGCGAATCAGTGACAAGAACACGTGTCACTTTCTTTCTGTACTTCTGTACTATATAATTTCTTTAGGGATCAATAAATAATAAATATTCTGATTCTGACTCACACTTGTGATCGCTCATGAGCTGGGATGAGCAACTACATCAGTAGCTCCATCATGTTTCTCCACACGTAGTTTTAACTTTTATTTTGGCTTTAGTTCACAATAACATTTGTTTAAGAAGCAAGAAAGTGTGGAGAAGTGCATTGACTGAAGAGCTGGGCCTCCTTTCATATTTCTAGGCTGCCTTGACATGTCTGGGCCAAGAACCGCACCCTTTACCTCAGAAAAATGTACAAGGGTGGAATTAGATGGAAAATAACATCCAGAGAGCTGTGCAGAAAAATTATGTAGCCCTGGGCTGGGATACGTGGCGCAATCATGCAGACATAATATTTGTGATCATAAAATTATAATCGCTGGTGTGGATACAGCGCAGAGAAATGTAGAAGGGAAAACTTTCCTTGAATGGAAAGGGGGCTGAGTTGATCCAGAGGCTGATGCAGTTTGTGCTTCCCAAACTTGATTTGTGTGCAGTTTTGCACCCAGGAGTGGATTAAACATGATAACAGAGCTTATTAAAGGGGAGAACAACGTGTAAAGGAGAACATATTATGTGAACTAGGGGAAAAAATGAAAAGCTTTAGATATGTTGCTTGTTTATTGAAGTGCTGTTGCGATAGATTACTAACTGCCCCCCTCTGTGTGTGCGTGTGTGTGTGTGTACTTGATCCACCATCTTGGGTGTGTTGATAGGAAGTTGACTACATGTGCCCAGAGGCTATATGACAACGAGCCTCGCCTTGATGTGTGAGGTGTGTTGCATAGCAACATAGCATTACTCGTAAACCTAAGTGATTTTGCCTTAGTGCACCTAATATGCGCGTGTCTGTAAGTACAGCCGGCACGCCTAGTCGTGTCTGCTGTGTGTTTGTGCAGCGTGATTCAGGTGCGGTCTATCGATGTCTAACTAGCCTCCTGGTCATGTATTCTTGCAAAAGCCCTCTTATAAATCACACACATATACAGAGAATATTACTAAATGGTTGTTTGTATGTTACTTGCTTTTCAAGTAAAAGGTTCTATTACCACAGCCTTTTAACTTTGAAGTAAATACAGCAATATTGTGATTTTCTTTTTTTCTGTGATGACATCCGATTTCTTTTGTGGGCATTCACATCCTACACCCATTTTTTCCACTGTGAATAGAATAGAATAGAATAGAATAGAATAGAATAGAATAGAATAGAATAGAATAGTTTTGCCAAATATACCTAAAATAACAAGCGAAAAGAAAAACTTAAAAACATTAAGTCTTCATGAATATCTATATGTCTACAAAATGTGTCTTGAACCATTCTGTGTGTGTGTGTGCGTATAAGAGCAGGAATGGGGCAGACACTGCATGTAAGCACTTGCACTTGTGTGTTCTTGTGTCTGCAAACACTCATGCTGAGCTGAGAGGCTGAGTCAGGTAAATGGGTGTGTCTTCTTTGTACCGGTGCGGATGAGTGCGAGCGTTTCCATTTAAAAGGCAGAGGGAAAGGGTGTCAGATTATTTCACGCGGACTAAACACTGGGAATGTCAGATAGCTATATGGATAGATATTGGCGTAGAAGGGTTCTGCTCCAGACCCTGATATATTGGACTTTTATTGGACTTTGCTGCGCTGGGCACAGGCGCTTTGACAGAGCAGATCCACCCCAGCACAGCAGACTTCATGACAGATGGGCTCAGAGGATACAATACCCTAAGCTTACCGACCGGGGAACTCAGAGGATTGAGTATCCATCGATAAATGACAGAGGACAGATGCTTCAATATCCTTCTATTGATGACAGTGATGCCAGTTCTCAGATTCAGGTAAAAATCAGAGGGTGTGATATGTTATTTATACTTTTACTCTGGGTTACACTGTGTCAAGTGTAGATCCCTAGTCGCTGGAAGACTGTTATCTCTGACCCCAAAGGGCGTGCTAAGAGTTAACCGTTAATCCAAATGATATCAGAATAACGGTTAAAAGTTAAAGATTGAAAGTTAATTTCTGCCTGAATTTTCACACTCCCTGACACCAAACAGAGCTACATTCATCCTGTGTGATAACATGTTTGCGGTGTTTCATTGAGTTTTAGGGTTTTTTCCATATTGTCCAAAAGGTGTGCAATATGATATGAAATATGGGCAAACAGATTTTTCTAAAATTGTTAATAACTAATGGTAGTTTGCAAATTAATGAGTAAGATTTTTGAAAATAATTCTTCAAAAATTACCAAATATCCCTGCCCTCCCCTCATATTTCTCAGTATATTATCAAAGGTATACTCGATGATGTTGTGTTTTAATGATATTAGAGAATTAACTTTAAGTATACTGCCAAAGTTCCTTGAACGTAAAATCGCCTTAAATATAGATGTACTTATATGTCTTCGCATTTGTGTTTTTCTTCTTCAGAAATGTCAGCCTGGTTACTACAGAGATGGCAGCAGTCCTTTCCAGGGCCTCTGTGTTCCCTGTGAGTGCAACGGTCTCTCCGATGAGTGTGAAGACAGGACAGGGCGGTGCCTGGTAAGAAATACACTTAACTCTTACCTCCTGGTATGACTCCATGACCACTGGTACGCAGAAAGCAACAAACATGAACGACCAAGAATGACTACTTCAGCCTAGCTGACTCCATTGTGATGCATCGTTTAGTCAGAGTCCAGACCCTCTCACCTTCAGGGCACCTTTTTTGGCACACATTTATTGCACAACCCTGCCTCCTTTCAGTTGTTGCTGTGTTTGTTTGTTTTTTAAAAATCACCATCTAAAGAATTTTTTGTTATGCGTTATTTGATTTCCCATTTTTTGTACTTCCTCGCTTACTTTACATAGATGGATTTGCCTTAATGCACTTCCTACACTAAGCTTTGTTGTATTATTATGATACAACACACTCAAGACTGGGCTTGTGGATACAATGCATGCGTGGATGCACACATTCACAGCCAAATGGACACAACAAGTAAATCAAACACACTACTGATAGTTTTAGCAGAGGCATGGTTTTTTTTTCCCTCTTGCCCCTCAGATGTTTGCTTCTGTGCCAGTGTAATAAAAAAGGCTTGGTTTCCGGGAGATAAACATGTCTGTCAAATGCTAGCTGCTGTGTACACACAGGTTTTTTTTCACACATTATATAGCCACTATTATCTTTTTAGATCTTCATTCTGCCCTGTTTTAATGGGTACATTATGTGTTTTTCAGAACTGTCGGTACAACACAGCTGGGGATCGATGTGAGCGCTGCAAAGAAGGTTACTATGGAGACGCAGCTCTCAGGACGTGCAGAGCGTGCCCATGCCCATTCACCACTAGCACAACGAAGTGAGTTAACAAAAAAAAATCAAAGCCTAAACTGCTATATTACAATTGCACTTATAATTTTGTGACAAAAATTAATCTCCTTGTGGGTCTGCAGTTTTGCGGTAGGTTGCAGAGAGGTGTATGGAAACATCGAGTGTATATGCAGAACAGGCTACGCTGGTAGCAGGTGTGAGAGGTGAGTGTCCCTGCATAGAGTGATCAGGCTGTTATGTAATTGTGTGCAGTTTAAAACACTGCTGATTATTTCTAATTTGTCTTCTTATTCTTTTTTTGAAATCTCTTTCCCATAGGTGTGCTCCTGGTTACTATGGCGATCCACTGATCCTAAGAGGAAGTTGTCGCCCCTGTAACTGTGCTGGCAATGGCAACAGCTGTGATCCCAGAACTGGAGGTAAGTTTGTGGAACCTAATTTAAAAAAAAAAAGAAGCTACATTTTAATCATTTCAGGCTTAATTTTTAAATATGTGGTTTTTAATGGGTTTATTTTTTCACAGTTTGCAAGAATGCGCTGGAGCCAGGAGACACAACCACAGATGAACAATGCCAAGGTGAATTAAAAGAAAGATTCGAGGCTGTACGGCGTGGCATGCTATTTGCATTAAATTTGGTTTGATTCCTTGCTAATTGCATTTGCTTTTGTATTTCAGAGTGTGATAATTGCGCCCAGACTTTATTACATGATTTAGAGGAGCTAGATAATGACCTGGTAAAGATCAAGGCTGAGCTGGGCAATGCCACTGCCAGCGCCTCCTCTCAGGACAGGCTGAAAAAGCTGGAGAAGGCTATGGCAGACACCAAGGTAACACATTAGTGTACCGTAGCCCCCGCATATAACTCTGAGAGAGCCATTGGATTGTTTGGAATTTGTCCTTTGCACACTATACACACACACAAACACAAACAATATGGTACACAATGGGAATATGTTCCAAGATGATAATGATAACCAGTGAAAATATGTTTTGTTCCACAGTTAAAGACCATTGACGGGTGTTTTTGTCATTATTCTTCCACTTATAATTTCTGTGGTACATTTGTCTGCTTCCTTTGTTTCACATATATACAGGCACAAGTGAACAAGTCTTAAAACAAATCTCATCCGCTTCATGTTTCAGTATCTGACTTGACGCCACTGAAATCACATTTTGCTACTGTAACTTTTGCAGGTTCTTGTTAGCAAATTCCACTCTGACATCAAGACAGAAAAACTCAAAGTTGACCAGCTGGAAAATGACATGGACACTCTTGAAGATGACATTCGTTCCCTCAAAGACAAGGTATAGGATGCCTAATACGTTGTTAATATTCTTTCATGTGCTGATATGTCAGTGTGAATGTGTGGGATTGTGTTATGTATTAAGGCTGACCAGAGGGCTTCTGAGGCTGACAATGCAGTCAGAGATGCTGACAAAACCCACAAGAGAGCCGAGGATTTGAAGTCAAAGATCGAGCAGATAAAAGGTAACGGGAGCATTACATTCATTGGAAGCTAAACTCTGTCCCTTTTCTTGGCGCTGTCCTGTTGTGTTTTAAACTTTTTTTTGTCCCCCTACTCTGTCCTTTGTTCCATTTATAATTGGTTCACTAGTTTCTATGATTTTCTGATTTAATGCTACTGTCAGTCCTTTAATATTAACTGCATATGTGTGTGGTTATGTTTGCTTGAAGATCTACTGAAACAACTTGAGAATCAGGATCAGAGGGGTGATGTGCCTGCTAAAAACTTTCAGCTTTATGAAAAAGCTAAGACAATGGTGAAAGAGATGGAAGACAAGAATTTCACTCCTGAGTTGACCGCTGCAAAGAAAGAAAGCAATGAAGCCAAGAAATGTATGACAGACTCAGTAAAATCCCAGAAGCACCTGATTATAACACGTGTATTCTGAATATTGAAACGGTTAAACATTAACGTCAAATAACATTCCCATTATTTATTCTTTGTGCTTCAGTGCTGGACTACATCAAAAATAATGTAAGTAAGCAGTGTGATGAAAATGAGGCTGCAGCGGATCAGATTCGAGGTCTTCTGGAGGGTTACGAAGCCAAGCTGAAAGAGCTGGACAAGGCCTTGAAAGATGCAGCGGACTTAGTGAAAAATGCCAATGCCCAGAATGGCCTTAATGCTAATACTCTAGGAGATCTGCAGGTAATGAATAAAAGAGGTGTTAAGAAGCTAATGAGCTAACGACCACACATGCATGTTAATTAATAGTTTGTAACTTTGCGTGAAAGACCCAAGCTCTTTTTTTGTTTTGTTTTAGTAGTTAAATATATCTTGTATAATACTTTGACTCGCATTGTAAATATAAGATATTATCAACACAGTAAAAATGCCTCATGTGTTACTCTTGTAGTATGTTTTATTGCAGCAGAGCTAGTCTCTCTAATTGAACTGATTCCTTTGTTACCCACAGAAACGCACCGAAGACTTAAAAAATGAGCGGAAGATAGTCGAGGACCAGATGACCTTGGCCAAGAATGAGCTACAGAAAACAGAAGATTTGGTGAAAATGCTCTTAGACAATAAAACGGTACATTTGGCAAAGCTATATATTTTTTTTAACCTCAAATATTCCATCCACTGAGATTTATGCACTCTCACGCCTTTTATTTACCTGATTTATAATATGAACCAAAACATTTCAACTATGTAGCATACCTTTCATTCAGCTCTTGAACATTGTTATTGCTTGTTGTGCTCGCGGGTGAGGTCAGTGTTGTTTTGTGGGATTGTGATTTTACCTGCACCCGTTCACCTGCCCCTTTTCCTCTGTAGGAGTATGAGCAGCTGGCAGCACAACTGGATGGCGCCAAGACGGATTTGACCAAGAAAGTAAATGAAATTTCTAAGGCTGCGGCCAAGAAGGACATCGTGGAGGCTGCCGAAAACCATGCTAAAAACCTAGAAAAGATTGCAAAGGATATTGAGGAGTACGTAAACCAAATTTTTAATGAGCGGTTTATTGACATGGAGTCAGCTGTGTGTGATATATAAGATTTCTTGGGTTTTTTTTTTTTTTTTTTGAAGTTCAATTAAATAATTCTCTCTGTGTCTGGGTTGTTTTCTTTCCATGACATCTTGTATAATAGTGCCGTGAAGAATGCAAGCGGACGAACTGAGGTGCGCAATGCGAAAGATGCTATTGAGGCCTACAAGAATATCATAGATGCCATAAATGCAGCCGAGGCAGCTGCTAAGGAAGCCAAGGTTGCTGCAGACAGCACCTTAAATGTAAGTCAAACATTTAAGTAAATATACAGGCATGCTTTTTGACATGAAGTAAATTCAGTATTAGAAAGGATTTTCAAATGAATACAGAGTCGTTTAAAAAGATGTGTTTTTTTCTTGATTTAGAATGTAACAAACCAGAACCTCACAGAAAAGGCAAAAAAGCTGAAGAGTCATAGTAAAGACCTACTGACTCAGGCAGAGCAAGCAGAGAAAGTCCTTAATGGTATTCAGTCATCTTCTTAAGTTATCATATTTACAATAACCCAAAAGCGCAGATGCTAATTCTCGGTTTCTACAAACAGACACTGCTGACAACATCACTGACCTGAATAAGCGCATTAATGATGCCAAGAAGAAGAAGAAAGCTCTTGAGAAAGACCTTCTTGATGCACAGGGACAGTTAAAAGACATCACGAGAGGTAGAGTAATGCAAATCGTGTGGTTATTTTAATCACATTAAAGTGTTTCTGGTAGATGTAAGATACTTAACTATTTTTTGCTTTTGATTTTTCCCCACCAGATGACATTGCAGCTAAGATAAATGAGGCCAAGCAAAAGGCAGCTTCAGCCAATCAAACAGCCAGTGACACAATGGACAAACTCAACAAAATGAGAAACGAACTTAATAAGATCAATGTCTCTCCCGGGGGCTCTAACCTAAACGGTATATTGGACGATGTCAGCCAGACAGGTGAGATTTGGAAAATTTGCTTTTAGACCCAGTCAGCAATACTTTTGCATTTCCTTTTTTCTCCAGTTTTTAATGCACTTTTAGAAAATGTTTACTTTTTTTTTTTTCTCTCACCTTTCTTGTTTTTCCAGTGAATAATTTGCTAAACACCATCCCATCTCTGACCAATAAGATCTCAACAGTAGAGAACCTGACCTCACAGGTTTCACCCATTAACATCATATCTGAAAACATCAAAATGCTCAAAGATCTAATTGAACAAGCCAGGGACGCAGCTAACAAGGTAAGGTTGTTCTGTAAATACAGCTATGGGTTTTCCTCCCTAGCAAAAGTGAAATATACCTGTTCCCTGTATAATATCTTTACTAGCAGGGCTTCATTTTCCCTTTTTTTCCCTTGTGTTTTGTACAGGTTACAGTCCCTATGAACTTCAAAGGTAAAGGTCATGTGGAGCTTCATCCACCAAAGAATCTGGATGATCTGAAAGCCTACACAGCCATATCTCTGATGCTACATAGACCTTCAGGGCGGGGAGATGGAAAACGCAGACGCAGGCAGGCCACAGAAGATGACATGTTTGTGTTATACCTTGGCAACAGAGATGTAAGTATTCCCAACTGCAGATGAACATTTCAAAGCTGTGATGTTTTTTTATTCTGATTTTACAACCTGTGTCTTTCAGTCTACAAAGAACTACATAGGTATGTTTTTGAGGAACAATGAGTTGTATGGCGTGTACAAGCTCAATGGAGATAAGTACGAGATAAAAACGGCAGCCATCACTAGGTCTGAACCTGAGTCTGCAACATTTGATAGGGTGGACCTGCGCAGGTAAATTGAAAACTTCCCTCTATAAATGCTGTGTCGGCATTTTAAATGGCAACATAAATAAAAAATGTATTAACGATGCCAATATGGTAGATGTGATTAAAATAATTATTTGTTTTCCCTTTTATGATTTAGAATTTACCAGGATGCAGAAATGATCCTTACCAAAGATATAACCTCAAACACAGACTCCATACCAATTAAGGAAGCCAATCAAGGACAAAATTCCAAGGATCTCCTGGATCTCAGTCCCGATGACATTGTTTTCTATGTTGGAGGCTACCCAGCCAACTTCACTGTAAGGAGCACAGATATATAAAACATACTACTATGTATCGGTTTCGCAGCAGCATGGATTTTACTAATACCTTTTCCTGTTTTGCTCCTCATCAGCCTCCAGATTCCCTCAGATACCCCAATTACAAAGGCTGCATTGAATTTTTCTCTCTTAATGACAGAGCTGTCAGTCTCTATAATTTCAAAAGAAAAGACAAGATTAATGAGGATACTCCATGCCAGAGGTACGTCATATGATGATTAGTATTGTGTGCAGCTAAACACTACAGTGTCCCTTTCACGGCATTTCATTTTGTGAAACTGCCATTTAACTTGCAGTTTAATCAAGTGTTTAGTATCTTTCGTCTTGGTTCTTTATGGCAAAATATAAAGAAATCACGGGTGGCTCAAGACTTTTGCACAGTGCTGCATGTGTTACTATATGCTATTACTCTTAATCAATGTAAATGGCATTAAGTTTAGCAATAAGTAACAACTGTCTCACTGATTTTCCATTACAGGTATGTTAAACCTGTTAAGTCAGACTACTACGAAGGCACCGGATTTGGCCGAGTGCTGGTGGATAATATACCGAACACCTTTAGCATCACTATGTCCGTTAATACCCGCTCACAAAATGGCCTACTCTCATATATAGGAAGTGAGGTAAATTCTGTTCAAGTGAAACTTTAAAAATGGACATACATCTTGATACACTGCAAATAAAATTCTATGTACTCTTTGCAAGAACTTGATTACCTTCTTTGTTTCACAGGACCAGTACCTCTATGTCACCATGGAGGAGGGAGTCATTTTTATACATAGTTCTTTCTTTGAGACACCAGCTTCTAATAATCAGAAGGTTTTCCTGGTAAGATGCTTTTTTTTTTTTTTTTGCAGCCATTCACGTTTTGCAGTCATTCACGTTCTTAAGGATAATTACTATTACTTGTCTATTACAATTCAAAGCACTGGTCGTCTGACTGAATTTTGCTTCTATTCGCTTTCTTCAGACAGAAGACTGGGTTGATATACAAGTCTATGTGACAAAGAAACAGCTCATGGTGCGTGTGGGCGGTAATGAAGCTGCTAAAGCCGAAGCTGATTTTGACATACAAAACATTAAAGATGTCTATATTGGTGGTGCACCTCAACACTTGAGGGAACGGTATGTGTACGCATGATTCCTCCAGTTAGTTTGTGTTGTGTTCTGTCACGTTTTCCCACTTTATTGAGAATAACTTTTTTTTTGGTTTCCCATAAAGGTATAAGATCACCATGCAGCCATTTAGAGGATGCTTGAAAAATCTGAAGCTGAATAAAGGCATTAAGCCTTTTAAAGAAAAAATGGGCATCATTAAAGGCTGTCCTGTGGAATCGCTGGTATGAAGACAGTTACTGGCATTAATATATCTGCACAAATCACAGCGTGTTCTGTGTAAATTGACATGTTCTGTGTTTTTGTACTTGTGTTCTTACAGAGTGTACGTAAAGCAGAGTTCACTTTAGGAAGCAGTCTCTCGGATAACCTTGAAGGCTTTACTCTGGATAACAACATGACCATTTCCCTTGGATTTAAGAGCACAGAGAATAAGGGTCTTATTTTGCGAAACAAACAGCAGGTCAGGCTTCCAACTTATTTTTGACATCTCTTGCAACTATGACATTAAAGACCAGATTTTTTTCACAACAGGTAGAATTAGATCATATACAGAAATGTTTTCCTTGTCTATTTTTTCAGGCTAATGGGATTGACCTTGGAATGGAAAACGGCTACGTGATTGTCTATTTCAACGACAAGATGTGGAAATCTACCAAACAGTACAATGACGGGCGCTGGCATTACGTGACTGTGATGATAAGAAGCGGAGGGTATGGAGGAAGCAATGATTTTTCATTCATGATCAATTAATACAACTAGTTATACTTTTATAGTGAGTGCTGTTTTTGCGATTCGATAAGGACACTGTGGGCACAGCTGCATATACCATGTTGGCGAACACCAGACACATAAATGTAGTTTGAAAAAATATTCTTAATAAATGGTTCTAAAGCATACGAGTACAAAAACTTTTTCCAGGATCCGGATGGTTATTGATGATGAGGATGAAGGGCAGGAGGAGAGCAGTGGCCGCTCCATACCTGACACAAGTGGCTCTCTCGTCCTGGGAAATGAGAATTTCAAAGGCTGCATTTCCAACCTCTACACAAGACGGTAAAATTCCCCACAAGTTTGAAATACTTTAAACATTTATGGAGTCAAACTGTGGTTATGTGCCATGTCATATATATTCATTTTCTTAAATGGGGTTTCTTTTATTTTATAATTCCCGGTGATTCCCTGTGATTTCAGGAAAGACAGTCTGTACAAGGCTGAGGACCTCAGCAGATTCAAGCCTGACGGAAAGGTTTTCGTGGATGTGTGTTCTCCCTTGACTCCCGTTCAACTGATGCTGGACCGTAACTCTAAGAAGGTGAGAGATTGTTTTACATGCCCACACACACTCTAATTCATTTGAATAAGTTTGGTGTGTTAAGTGCACAAGTGGAAAAACCATGGATTTGGATGAAATGATTTCCCTTTTTACAAACCAGATCAACATGTTTTTAAATCCATATAACAAAGCCATATAATGTGATAGCAAAAATGTGACTTTATTAACATGTGAAGCTTGATTTCTCTCCTTGGATGTAAGTTACACCAAGTTTAATATTCTTTTGAAAATTGCTTTAATTGTCTTCACCTTGTTGACAATGTTCACGTTATATTTTGCTGCCTCATTTCCAGAGATAAAGAAGAAGGAGTCCTAAGACCTGCTGATGCTGTCAAGAATCTAATACTGATTGAAAAACTGCTTTTGCAAACCACAGTGTTATGTAGCTTATGCACCAGCCCGTTCATCTCCAGTGTACTTCAATAAAAAAAAAAAAAAAAAACTTGCATGAAATGAATGGCATGAATGTTTCAAGTAACCATAATAATTGCAAAATGTATTGTATTTCAAAGTTGCTACTCTATTTAATTTAAGTATCTACAAATCTGTTAATAACAACCTTGAAATTGTTTCATGTCTCTTCTCTTTCTTCCATGTAACACTCTAATAATCATTCACAAGCATGTTCCCACTAACTCACTGATGCACAGTTATGACTCGTTATTGAAAAAGATGAATATTGCACCCTCGCTTATATGATGAAGTGCTGCTCATAATGCTTTAGCAGCTGCTTTCACCTTTAACACTGATAATATCCAATAAAAACAACAGGGATTCATCAACATTTTCTTGCAAATTCTCCTGTTTAGCTGTTAAAGTTCACGTATTTATTTATGGTATTTGACACAAGGCCAAATGATATATTTCAAATGCTGTTTAAAACACACCCCGAACATGAACCCTGGCTGATGTGCACCACCTTAGCCCTGTAACATTTTGTGTGTCTATGTACAGACATGCTGGTCTACACTGTAATAAACTAAATGAGTACAGAAGCATATCCTGGGTTTAGATGACAGTGCCTCGCCACGCCATATGTAGAGCTCACTCGTTAGGTACCATTAACATTCAAATCTTTCTTCAAAATCACGAAACTCACACTACTTCTTGTGATCACAGCTGCCCTCGTATGCTCATCCTCACTATAAAAATTAGCCTTTAGTCATTCTCTGAAAACCTGCAACCCACAATTATTTTATTGAATAATGAATTCTCATCTGCTGAATGGGTTTAAATTCAGGATAATAATCAATTGACACTACACCCCACACTTCATTTAAAATAAGCCAAAAAAAGAGAGAGAGAGAAATAACAAAAGGTCAAAATGGTGAAGATGCTGTGTTCTGAAAAAAGGTCATGGTCCATAATTATCCTACTGTTTTCAATATGTAAGCTGGCCCTCATCCATGTATACATTTTTATCATATCACAACCTCCTCAGCCACAACAGTGTTGTTCCCATTCTCTGCAACTCAAGCGATCCTCTGTTTTTCTTGAATATATGCCAGACTGAAATCACTCAAAACACTGGCAAGCTCCTACTTTTTTTCTTCTTTTTTTTTTATGCTGATGCTGAAAGTTTAATAAGCACAAATCACACACGCGTGTGTAAACAGAAAGATGGTGGGAGTTATGCTACTCCCAAGAGAATGTGGTTATTAAAACTCCAAATATATCCACCATACTCGCTGCTGTACTTACAGTTATGACCCACCGTCTGGCATTAACAGCTACATGTATGAATCGAATTTTCTGAACTGTTTCTCAATGTGTTGAGTTTACGTTCTGCATCACAACAGAAGCCAAACATGTATAAGGAATAATGGATAAAAGATTCTTGACCAAACCATTTTTAATCTATGATTAAAAGCAGATAATGTTGCCAGATTAAACATTTTAGAAGGACACACGTGTAATCTTGGAGATTTTTGAATATTTTCTGGCATTTTATTGATCAATAATTGGCTGCAATTAAAGAAAACCAGGAAATCAATTAATAAATAAAGCAATGGTCATCTTCATTCACTAAATTTCACACCTGTGGGTGGGGGAGGACTTTTTTTCACTTTCTGAAGATGCAATAAAGAATATATGCAGTATTTTCATGTACAATATGACAGTTATTCTTTTTTTTCTTTTTTTTTAACCACATCTTGTACCATCGTTGACACAGTGGAAGCAAAAATCCTGAGACTTACCAAAGGAGTTTTGAGCTGTTAAAAGGAAAACTGTTGCTGAGGGTTTCTGTTGTGTTTGTGTTGTTTTAGGATGATGTGAAACCTGTGAGCAATGAGAGTGTGTCAGCATGTGCGTTACCAGCCATGGATCAACATGCTTATCGCCTTGGAGGGACTGTTAGCAGACTAAGCTACAGCCTTCCTCTACAGGTCCTGCAACCCAGGTAAGTAAACAGTCTGATACACAATCATGCATATGTATAAATCCTTACGTGTAAGATTAATAAATGTAAAGTGTACTTGTTTGAGTTTACCAATTCAAAAGCAGTATTTCTTTCTTTTTTTTTTTGGTTCTCCACAGACCGCATTTCTCTCTTGAAGTCAGGACTCGATCGCATGAAGGCATGCTGTTCTTTGCTGCAACCAGAGGAGGGCAATCTCATCTTGCTTTATACATGTCGAAGGGCAGGATCAGGCTTTCTGTGGGCAAACAGAAGATCTTCAACCGAGAAAAGTACAATGATGGAAAGTGGCACACGGTCAGTTCATTGCATTTATATCAACAAAAAACCTCTAATTGCTTAAAAAAAAAGTTAAACACTTTATGTTTACAGGTAATGTTCAGTTTGGAAAAGAAGAAATTCCGGCTGGTTGTAGACGGAATAAGAGCTCAGGATGGGCAGCTGACTAATGCAGAGTTGTCGTCCATGAAGCAGCAATTCCTGTCCCCTGTCTACTTGGGCAGTACCCCACATTCCCTTCACAAAGAGTTAAAGGTTTAAAACAATAACAATGCAAATTTCGCACAACTAATTCAATTTAGTGTTTATTTATTTTATAAATTTGTTATGCTTTCACTTTAAGTCGAAGGGCCTTCCGAAGCACAGTGTGTCTGGCTGCGTACGCAATTTTAAGATGAATGGAGCGCAAATGTCAAATCCAACCGCGAATCATGGTTCTGGCCCTTGCTTTGAGGGACAGACACAAAGAGGCGCTTACTTCTCAGGGAATGGAGCACACGTCGTTGTCAGTGAGTAAATCTTTCTTCACAACAATCTGACAGCTAATCTTTTAAAGTTCATTTGATTGAGGAACATCATCACAATTTTCTTTTTAATTTTGTAATATCAGATGACTAAATAATAGCAATAACAAAATAAACCAGAAAAAGCAATTTCCTAGCAAAAATGCAGTATGAATGCTGAAAATGTGAAGATTGCGCCTGAATTGCTTAAATATATTTGAAATATCAGAAGCTCAACTTGCTGAATGAGCTTAATTGCGTAAGATTACCAAAACATCATCTGGCTTATGTGTAAACTGAAAAATGTGCTAAAAAAAAAAAAACTAAAAAAAGTATAAAGTATAAACTTAAATTTAGAAGAAAAAAAAAGAACCACAACTTGAAGCACAAGTTCATCAAAATGTCCCCTCCTAAAACTCTTTACAAGTACACACACACACACACACACACACACACACACAGACGGGAGTGAAACAGTGGGTGTGAGAGTGTGTGCCTTTCTGTTTCTATGCCAATCAAACAGTCTGAATCTGCTGAACTTGAATCCACCAATCAGGAGCAGCTTGAGTCTGTGTCTGTCTTACCACCAACACACAGAGGAAATTGCTGCTGAGATACCCAGAAACAAACAGGAGCAATATGAAAGTTGTAGATCTGACAAACATTTGACTATTTGAGTATAAGAAGCAGGGCGTGCATTTTTTGTGTCTGTTGACCGAGAAATGGCAGATTGAAAAGTGCGTCCATTAGCTTTTTGAAACTCTCTGAAAATGTTGTAAAACTTAAATTGTTACTGTTTGAAAATGGT